GGGATAGCCCCGGCCACTTTTGCCAGGCACATTCGGCAAGACATCTGTCCGTCCCGAACCCAGCTACTCTCAAATCGGACATGCCCTCCTAGAGGCGGGTTTTGGAAGATCTAGAGCATGGAATATATTCCAACATTTAATCAAAATAATCAAAGGCACGAAACATCGCCCCCAGACTGTATTTTACTACCCTTGAATATTCCTCCTGTAGAGGGACACGCCCGACTGAACTCTACTGGCACCTTCTTCGTCGACCCGCAGCTTCGCAAGGTGCCCGGTCTCTGCGGCCCCCGCCTGGCGATGCGAGCATTTTCGTGGGGAACCCGCTGGCAGGCCAATTTGTCATTCGGAGTGCCTGCTGCGGCTCCTTTGCGCGATTCGGCCTCAAAGGACCCCTACCCCGTTGGGAGGCGACCTAGGTTAGGAGGGGCGGAGACATTGGGGATAGGAGGTCTTGTCGACTGCGATGTGTCGAACCAAACCGCCCATATGCAACTGTGTATTATTCCTACGGCAAAGACGGGGCCCTCAGTGAGGCCACGGCTTCGCTGTCATTACGGGTCAGAGGCTCTTTCATCCTCGGTGATCTTCGGATCCGCCCTCCCGGACGACCCTCGCCGCTCGCGCGGCGAGGCGCGAAGGGGCCCCAGACCCCTCCGCTGGTGCCACCCAGCAGAAAACTCGGAAGGCCGAAGGTGGACGCTTTCCCGGAGCCGCCGGCGATGATAGATGCCTGCGTGGGGACCCCTCCCTGCGAGCGCAGCACAGAACTTGCCCCTGGGCGCTCCCCTGTGGGAGGTGGGGCGGGGGCTCTGAACTGGATGGGGCCTCAGAAAATCGGTCAGGGGTGGACTCGGCCAAATCCGGTCCAGACCGCCCGGACCCTCCTGGGGTCCACCTGGTGCAGTTTTTCGGGAGCGGCCAAGAGGGGGGTGTCCAAGAGGGGGGGGTGCAAATCATGACCGGCGGCATGTGCGCGGCCCAGCGGGGGGGCCAGGGACGTGATGAAATGAGAAGAGGCGCCATGGAATCTGGGAAATGTCATGGCCCCTGCCATGAGATCCCCCCCCCCCCTAGTCATCACCCCCCTCTTTGCCGCCCCCGAGCTTTTCACCCCGGATCCATTCCTGGCGGCCCCGGGGCCCGAGAGCGGCCCCCCGGGGCCAGACAGGGCAACCGACCTCCCCGAACCCAGAACCTCCCAACTCGCACCCCCTCCTGCTCGCTGGAGCCAGTGCTGGCCCACCGCTGGCTCCAACGCCCCTGGGGGCGCCCGCAGGCCCTGCGCGCTGGCCCCGCCCCGCCCCCGCCGCGGCCGCGGCCCTGCTGTCGGCGACCTTCGGCGCCTTCGGCTCGGGCTCCTTCTGCTTCGCCGGCAGCGGGTTGTGCTGTTCCCTCGAGTTAGTTTTTTTGCTTGTTATCTTTCGGTGGTGACTACGTTATATGCGGTGGGGTGGAGGTGCCGGCCGATAACCCAACCTTTCCACTTGGTGCAGCCCCGCGCATGCCCGCGCGCACCAGCACTGCGTTCCCCCCTGCGCAACCGACAAGATCAGGTCATCCCGGGGGGAGGGGAGGGGGCGGGCGGGGGGGCCCGATAAGCCAGGGTATCCCCGGACCGTTGAAAAACCAGTCTCCTCCGGCCCTCCCGTCTTGTTCGCCTGCTCGTTGTCGTGCGTTACCTCCCTTCTCGACTCCCCTTCGCCCGGAGGGGAAGGGAGCGCGTCCACCTTCACCGCGGCTCCTCACGCATGTGGCATTGCCTTCTGTTTGCCGGTGTGCTGCTTCCGCTCTCTTCTCTTGCTTCCCCTCTCTGGAAGGGAAAGAGCGCATCCAACTCCACCGCGACTCCCCGGGCCCGGCTCGGACCCGGGTGCCTCTCTCGTCCATCGTCCGCGAACTCTCTCCGAACATGCGTGTGCATGTGGATCGTGGTGGACGCGGCTTCGTCCTCGCCTCCGGGGGCAGATCGTGGTGGGTGCGGTCTCTCTCGGCCACCGACCGACGTCCATAAGGACCCGGCCCCGCTTGGGGCCGGACCCGGCCGGGCCACCCCGGCTGGGGGGGGAAAGAGAGAATACGCCGACCCCCTGGGGGCTACTGGACGTGTGAGATGCTCGCTGCGCGCAGAATTCCGCTGACCCCTTCGGACCTCCAGGCGCGAGACACTGCTCCCGCTAGAAGCCTCACATTTCCGTGCTCTCGCCTCCGTGATCTTCAACCAATTCGCCTTCGAAGTTCTCGCGGAAGTAGGCACCGAGGGGTCGGCGGCACGACAGGGCCTAGGACAGAAGACCATCCTCTAAGAACATACGAACCTCCGCTGGCCAAGCTGAACAACATTCGAGGGGACCCTTCCCCAGGATGCACAAGAGCATCCAACAAACACGAAGACCATGTGGGTATCCTCCCCGAGCCGACCTCGATCTTATACCGCGGTCCGACTGTACCAGACCCCCGATGTCATGTTTTACCTGACGTCGATCCCCAGAGGTCTCGACCCGTTCCCCGGGACCAGTTTTTCACCCCGAGTCGTTTTTGACGGTCCCGAAGCCCGGGAAGGGCCTCCAAAGTCCGACAACTATGACAAACCTTCGTCCCGATAGTGTCCGAGACGCTGAATACCTGGGGTCGGCGGTGAA